CTATCAATCTTATCATTGATGCCTTATGGATGTTACCATTTGTCCGAAAACAGAGCAGAAATTTAAATACACATCTGTACTGAAAGTAAGTACACGGTAAATTAAAGTTCTGCATCAAACCGGAAGACTTGGTCCTTATGGCACATTAATATACTAAGTATTTGATGAATGCAAACAATAATCCCTATCTGAAATAACATACCACACCAGAAAGAGCACAGATAAAGTATCATGAAGCCAGTTGCGCTGTCCTGCTGGTGGTCTCAGGTGAAGCCCATCGCAGGCAATGAACTCCTGCCTTACTACACTCCCGGAAGACATGAAGTTAGGGTGGGCCGACATAGGTCAATCCATTCTCACCGCAAAGGTGTTTCACTGCACTTTCTCGTTGAGGGAATCCTGATTTCCGGCCTTGTCGCCGTCTATTCCAATATCAAATCTTTGGGTGACACCGGAAAGGAGTACCACAGCTCTGTGTAACATAAAGCATTACAAAAACATTAATATGTGCGCATCCGACCAGATCGTTTTTCCCACCCGCTGAAATCTGAAAAAAATGGAAATTTATCTAAAAAATAATCTGTGGTCGGATACTGCCTTGGACGTTTGACCTCACTTTTGGCAAACCGCTCGTATAAGTAAATGTCACGCATCGAGATGAAAGCTGTTATCCATAAAACGTAACATGTATTCAATGTATTCAAATGTTCGATTGAGCTTCCGACAGTTTTAAATGGGTGCATAAAACTAGGTGACATACCGTGGGTTCTGTTTCTAGTTATAATGTCAACCAGTTTCGCGAAGTTGTCCAACTACCCGCCCAGGCATCCTAGGCATAGTGTTACGCCAAGGTCATTGATCCCAATGTGGAGCGATAATGAACTGGAAACAATGTTGAATTAAAACTCACTTCAGAAATGAGGATTGAGCTGGGCGATCAAAACATAAGATACGAATGCTTTTTAGCATCCGGTATCCACAAAGATGTGGGTATATTACGACTACACGCGTGAAATAATTCCTCATTCTGTGCACAATCCGACATTCTTCAACTGTTTCCTACTTAAAGTCTCTCCATGTCCCAAAAAGAGATCAGGAAAACACAGCCAGCCACCTTGGCTCCGGACAGACACACCTTGTCACGATCCCTTCTTTCGGCGTTTATAACGTCCAACATACTTCAGCAACGATTCGCCAACCAGTAATGCAGACATTTTCAGTTCAGATGATTCTGAAAATAGGCTGCTACTGATGATGATGATGATTTAAGGTTACAGATCTTAAGATTATTTAACGTCGGCTTTGGCTGTAGCCAATGTCGCCGACGGCAGGTAGGTGGGAGTAAGATAATAATAAATAGGTTAAAATAAGGAGTAAACCACCATATATCTCAAAAATATAAATGCTGGGGCATTAACCTAAGTGGAATGCTTTGCAGCCGAAAACTTTGAAAACATGAGAAAAATAAATAAAAAGCCGATGTTATGAAGGAAAGGAAAAAAATACACCTTGAGTTTATTAGTGATAGGAAATGAGAGTTATTGTTAAAATAGTAATGATGAAATATTAAATCATTGGGCCTATGGTGGAGGAGGGGAGATATCCATAAGGAAGTATAGACCTCATAGTAGGGCCTGGTATAGGAAATGCAGGTAAGCCGCATAACCATCATCAAAGACTGATTTAGAAAAATCATCAACATTCAATTGTTCTGAATTAGTTAGAGATTACGGTCTACAGCATTCTCCGGGTGAAAGGATTAGTGCAGCCTTCAAAAGCTAGGAAACAAGTGTGCTATCACTGTGAAGGCACTGCCTAAAAGATATAAACCGTCATGTTGCATTCTTGTAACTTTGGTCATCAAGATCGTCGTTCATGCTTACCAGATGACCTTGCGTTAGAGGGATTGAGGCTACTTTGTTTAACGTTTTAGTGGAGATGTGATTAATTAAGGAATGGATAGGCGCAGACCTAGCAGCAGATTTAAACACTGCATAGATAAATTGAAATCCACTCCCAAGTCTAATCAGTGAATTTGTGACATGTGGCCCTTGCTGAGCATATTAATGATAATCATGCAGCGATAAGTGTCATAAATTTTGACGCCTGATCTAATCAAATATACTAAGCTAGTAAGTCATGATGGTAGTATAAGAAGGTTTGTTGGAAGTTCCAACCTTCCCTAAATTTTGGAGTAAGTTAGAGTTTTGTAGGAAAGTAGCTATAGCATGGAGAATGATATTGTAGGCAAGATCCTAAATAGGAGGTTGAGAATGTTGAGAGTGTATGTTATTGTGGTATTTCGTTCTGGGAATGTTGTTGTGTAATTGCTTAATGTTTGTTTGGTTGCAACTGGCAATGTGTGAATATGTGGCCTTTATGTCTTCTTAGGAGTTATTGAGGAGCTGTAATGTGTGCATCAGGCAATCCATCCGGGTGTCTGTTTTGTTTATAGAGTGTGGTAATTTAAGTTTGTAATGCCTGTGATTATCCTTAGCAGTTTGGTTATTGCTGTGTCTATGTTTTGATATTTGACCACTATCCATTTGTGGCAAGAAACACATTAGTCTGATACACTCTCACCAAAGTTTATTTCCGTTTTCGTTATGTCTATCGTTGTTGTAGCGTTGCATTAAGAACATACGTTGTATCGTTGTATACAAACAGTTGACGAGAGGTTCAGAGAAACTATAAAGGAGAAACAAAATACGTGTTTAGTATACAAGCCAAACCTGAACCTAATAAAGTGTACAAATATTCAAAATCCATATTTTCTAAATAAGCATTAATTGAATCAAATGTATTTTCTCTTAACTCATTTTGGACATAAAGCAGCATAAATTCAAGAAATAACTCACATCTGTGTTCTGCCATAACTCAATGTGTGCTGCTGTCAACATGCAGGCCTTCTGTCTGACTGAGCCCATGTGCTCCTGATCATGTGATCAGATTGCCAGGATGTGAATTAAGTTTTAAATTTGCAAAAGTTTAGGCAGCAACCTGGCTTTGAACTTTGCAACCTGTGTGTTCATGAATATTAACATAAGCGGTTCCAGTGAACAATCCTTTACACCACAAGCACTTGTACAGATGTGTTGACAATTTTAAAATATTAAAATTAACTTTTACTTTAAATTAAATAAACTAAATTGAGAGGTTAAACTTAGTGTTCTGCACGTACACACTCGGCCTCTTAAACATACACCTGTTTAACTAAACTTAAAACGTGCAGAATTAACACAATATGTCACTGCAAAACTTCTGGTATGAGACCAGTGTGTAACACTATTGTTCAATACATGTCACTCATTCACTTGAAGTGAGAAGTAGCACAAGTTTGTGTACTGGTCTACGTAGTTCACCTTTTAGTGTTCTCAACACTACACTTCTCACATGTCCTCGTTTGTCTGATTCAGTTGCAATCACTCGACCCATAGGCCACTGCAGTCTTGGTATGTTTTGGTCCATGATCAGAACAATATCATCTACTTGCATGTTGCGTTTCGATTCATTCCATTTTTGCCGCACTTGTAAGTTCAACAGATATTCTCTCCGCCACCGAGACCAGAATACATTCGCAAGATACTGGATCCTGCGCCATCTCCGCCTCATGTAGACATCGTTGCGCTGAAAATGACCTGGGGGTGGAATAGACACATTTGACTTCATCATCAACAGATGATTAGGTGATAAAGGATTCAGATCATCAGGACTGTCAGATACAGTGGTGAGGGGTCGGGAGTTTATAATAGCTTCAACTTCGCACAATAGTGTCCGATATGACTCATCATTCAAACGTTCACCAAACTCGTTGAGAAGAGGAGAAAGTACTTGTCGCACGGACCTGATGAGTCGCTCCCACACGCCACCCATGTGACTTGCTGATGGAGGATTGAATTTCCATTCAATATTACTTTTCAGCAGATAAGACTGAATGCGTTCCTGACTCATTTCTGCTACTGCCTGTCTCAGTTCTTTAGCTGCACTGGTGAAGTTAGTACTATTGTCACACCAAATGACATGGATAGGTCCTCTTCGAGCTATGAACCGACGTAAAGCATGAAGGAACGAGTCTGTATCAAGAGAATTTGCTGTCTCAATATGGACTCCTCTGCTCACAAGACATGTAAACAATGCCCCGTAACGTTTGGCATATTTCCGTCCTTCCTTGATAACGTGAGGGCCAAAGAAATCTACCCCTGTGTAGGTGAATGGTGGAGTAGGTTTGACTCGAATGGACGGCAGATCAGCCATCTTCTGTTCACAAGCTGGTACTCTCAATTTTCGACATGTGACACAGCGAGACAATATGGTACGAACAGCAGAATTAGCTTTAATGACCCAGTACTTCTCTCTTAGTGCAGATAGGACGTGATTCCGTCCAGCATGCCCAAGTCTCAGATGTATGTCAGTGATGATCAGTGATGTGACAACACTTTTGTATGGTAGTAAAACTGGGTATTTCATCTCCTCTGGAATCTCTGCTCTGCTGAGTCGACCGCCAACTTTGAGTAGTCCATTGTCTAAGAAGAGGTCTAGTCTGTACACTGAGCTACTCTTGGGTACTCGGCACCGTTTGCTACTTGAATCCATTTCCTTGTCGAAATGCTGTAACTGTATGAACTTGAGAATAACATTCTCTGCTCTGTCTAGTTCCTGTACTGTGAAAGGCTGATTGAATCGTCCGCATGAAGACTTGTTAGTTTGCAGTTTTCGACTGTGGAGAATGTCAAATAATCTGTGATATATCACTACAGCTCGCTTCAAACGATACCAACTAGAGTAATGATCCATCAGTTGACACATAGTGTCTTGGGTATTCTTTGATAGTGTTTCTGTTGCAGTGACTACTTCTTCAAAAGTACAATCTTTCAGAACAGCTGGCTGTTGCAAGGACCACTCGGATTCAGGTTTCATAAGAAACTGGGACCTTTGAACCAGTCATTGCACCCAATCAACTGTGAAGGAGTCACGCCACGAGATGCAACATCTGCAGGATTGGTCTTAGAATCAATGTAGTTCCACTGACCAGGCTCTGAAAAATCTCTGATTACTTTCACACGATTGGCAACAAACACTGGGAGCCTTTTCCGTTCACTGTTAATATAGTGCAGAACAGTTGTTGAGTCAGTATAGTAAGTTACACTGTCAGGTTTGGTGTCAAGCTGGAGTTGACCAATGTGTACTGCTACAGTTGCAGCTGTTAACTCTAAGCGAGGAATGGTGACTGTTTTAACTGGTGCAAGTCTGGATTTTCCCATAAGAAATGCTGTATGGATGTTGTCCTTATCATCACAAAGACGAAGGTATGCTACACACCATACCCCATGGTACTTGCATCTGAAAACACATGAAGCTGTTTAGACACTCCAAACAGATTTCCAGCCTCAACACGAGGCACTGGAGTCTCTTAGACATCAGATGAGTTCTGCAGGTATTTTGTTCCAAGCTGCTTGTTAGTACATAGATCTTGTAAGACTTTCTTGGCTGGCAGCATGACAGGAGCCACAATACCTAAGGGATCATATAATGAAGACATTGTTGAGAGTAGTCCTCTTCGAGTAAATGGTTTTTCTTTCAAGTCAACCGTGAACCCAAACATATCTGTATTGATATGCCACTGCATCCCAAGATCTCTTTCAATAAGGAGATCGTAATTCAAGTCATGAGTTTGAATATGTTTTGAGTGATGCTCCGATGGAATCGAATTGAGAACATTTCTGTTATTAGATGTGAACTTGGTCAGCTGAAATCCACCTTCTTCACATGCAGACCTCAAATTGTCAACTAATTTCACAGCAGTGTCCTCAGTGCTGACTGATTTGAGGCAATCATCAACATAGAAATTGTTCCGAATAGTGTCAGCAACAGGGAGTCCATAAACATCCTCCGCTCTGTCAGCTGTAGCCTTCAAAACAAAGTTAGATATACTGGGTGAAGACACTGCTCCAAAGATATGAACTGTCATGCTTTATTCTTGTAGTTCTGTACTTAAATCGCCATTGGGCCACCACAGAAACCTCAGGAGATCATGCTGCTGGGGAGGAACCTTTACTTGATAGAACATGGCTTCGATATCAGCCATGAATGCCACAGGCTTCGCTCTAAATCTGGTCAGCACTCCAATCAGTGAATTTGTGACATCTGGCCCTTGAAGGAGCATATCATTCAGCGATGTCCCGTCATACTTGGCACTACAATCAAATACTACACGTATCTTCGTCGGTTTCTTTGGATGGTAAACACCATGGTGGGGTAAATACCACACCTTCCCTGTTTCTGTTGTCAACTTATTGTTGGGGATCTTATAGGCGTAGCCTTTCAAGATAAGGTTGTCCATGAATGTTGTGTAGTCCTGATGATATTGTTCGTTCTGACACATTTTCTTTTTCTGCCACTTTGCTCTTTTTTTCAGCTTGTTCTCTGTTATTGGAGAATGTTGCATTGGGATCTCTAAGGGGCAATGGTAACTCATAATGGCCATCAACTTGCTTCACGTTGGTCTTTGCAATCTCCATGAACTTCTCATCCTCTCTGGAGTAGCCTTGTTCACCCGGTACTGTTCCAATGTCACGCTCACTAAAGTCCATTTCAAACATCTTCAGAATGGCGTCTCGAGTACGATATTCTTGGACTGCATGGACTTCTTGGAAAATTGCATGATTGCAGGTAAGGGAGTTATCAGATCGGTTGTACTTAATATGGAGTGGTCCACTAACTGTCCATCCATGTTTATAGCGTACCGCAAAGGGGCCATTACCTTGTGATGGAATGACTTCCTGTGGCTGCAGGGCAAGAGGGCAGTTGCTTCCAATTAGCAACCCCTTTATCAAGATCAGGCTGGTACTCTGGTAGCTTGCTTGCCATATCACTAAGATGAGGGAATGTTAACAAAACATCGGGATTAGGTATCTGACTGTGACCAACTGGTATCTCTTCCTTAGTAAATGTCCTTGGTAATAAGACTGCATTTTCCTCAGTTATATCTGACATGATGAGATCCTCCACTGCTAAGGTTTCTACTGTACTAACGCCATGCATCGTTCGAAGCTTGAGCATTGATTTGGTAGACTTTGCTGCAAGTTCATGTTTCAGATCTTCTGTGATGAAGCAACCGGTACTGCCATTGTCCCACAGTGCATATGTCTTTACTGATTTCTCGTTGCCTCTCTGTTGCACAATAACAGGGATGATAGGTTGCAGCACCGTATCCATTGTGTCCGATTTTGTATGACTGCAAGATGTGTTAACAGAGTCAGCTGTGGCATGCGTTGTGCCATGCCCATCTGCCTTTGACATGATGCTACCTGTATCTGTTAATCCCTCCTGTCTATTCCGTACTGGACGAAAGTCGTCATCATCATGTAAAGCTGTTGGATGGCACTTGCCACACCGTTTACAGGTCCGCTTCTTCATACAACCTTTAACAGCATGGTTGTAACCATAGCAACCGTAACACATTTTATTGTCCCTCAGGTATGCTCGCTTATCTGTTAGAGACTTCTGCGCAAATTGTTTGCAGTCATCCATATCATGTTGCTCTTTGCAGAAGTAACAGGCAAGCCTTCTGCCTTTATTGTGACGATCTGTCGAATCTGGGTAGTTGCTACTTATCACAATACTGTTTGACTTGAGTTTGTGGACAGTCTGTTTATCCCTCTTGGCATCTTTGCCTTGCCTTCGTAAGTGGACCTCATTTTTAGACATTGCATCCTTACTGTAAACCGGCTCGTTTGCAGACTTGGATGCAAACTCAATGAACTGTACAATATCCTCAAAGGCAATAACAATATCCCTTTGAAGCCGAGCTTTAGTGACGTGATCTCGCCATTTATTCTGCAGATAGATTGGCAGCTTCAGAACAACAGCTTGCATGTTTGGAGCATGATTCAGCACATTCATGTGAGACATACTTTTCATGGCATGGAGGCATTTGATGAGGAAGTAGGAAAACTGCTTTAATCCATGAGAGTCATCATATTTGATCTCTGGCCAAGCAAGAACCTTGTTGACATAGGCTGTTGATACTGTGTAAGGATTTCCATATTCTGTGATCAACAAATCTCTGGCCTTTTGATAACCATCAGCAGAATTCATATACAGACAACCCGCTATCAAATCTTTAGGTTCTCCTTCCAGCTGTTGATCAAGATAATACAATCTATCTGTATTATTGGTAGTATGGGGAACGACGCGTGCATCAAAGGACATCATGAAAGTACTAAATGCCATGGGATCGCCTTTAAATGTTGGTACCTTTGGTTGTGGCAAAAGCATCGCTGTGGCCATCTGTTTATGCGTTTGAAGAATTAGTTCATTCTGTCTTTGCATAGATGGAGATTATTATGAGCAGGCATCGTGGCATCCTCAGGTGAGGCTAAGTGTGAAGGCTTAAAGTCTTTAACATTGGGATTCAGCTGCCGAGATGAAACATTTTGGTTAAAGCCACTTTCATATGGAATATTCCCTCGTGGTCTACCATTACCTGGATTATCAAGCATGGAAGAATGAACATTGGGGACAGTAGCATTACGAGGCATATTAACTTCAACGCCAAAGCTATCTGGTACCTCATGTACACGGGGTTTAACATCAAATACATCTGAAATTCCAAGGACACTAGGTTTTGCATAAAATTCACCTGGAATTCCAGAAACATTGGGTTTAACATCAGAAATTGGCTCAGGGATGTATCTGTGCCTCAGGGTTGCATCTTCTACATCAGCATATGCCCTTTCTCTTGCTTGCATTTTGGTAATTTCAATGTCAAGCTTAAGTTCCTGAACTTTCTTAGATTGTTCTAGCAAAGATTTCTCAGCATAAAGTTCTGCTAACCTTGCCCGTTCCTTTGCATAAGCAGATCTAGTTGAACGCATGGAGTTCCGAGATGACTGCGAGTTCCTGTGGGATCCATTGTCTCCGATGTCCATCAGTTGATTCTCCACCCGTTTCATCCATTGTTCTACCTCATTTCGGAAATGCAAGATTGAAATTTCTTTATCTTCATGTCGCTTATTCTCAACATCTCTTGTCTGCTGTGAAACAATCTCATCATAATATGAAGTGAAACATTTTTCATACTGTTGGCACAAATCAGTAAAGTCAACATAACTAAATTTCACCAAGTGTAAACTTTCACTAGTACTACTTAACATTAGCCTATAAAGTTCATTTCTCTTCCTTGTGATGGCTCCAAGTACACCTGCTTGTCTATTCTTTAACATTCGTATTCGCTCAGCTTGTCCCTTTTCAGTTTGTGTCCTAGTACGAACTGACCTTGTATTTCCAGCATCAACACCTGACCCCAGTTGCTGTTCACTATCAGGAAACTGCTGGCCTGGTGTTGTATCAGATGTGCTTCTCGTCTCTGTTGCTTCACTGTTACTTTCTGTCAAAGGGTGTCCCTCCGTTTCTGTTACAGGCTGTTCCTCCGTTTCTGTTACAGGCTGTTCCTCCGTTTCTGTTACAGGCTGTTCCTCCGTTTCTGTAACTGTCTGGTCATCTGTTTCTGCAACACTATACTCAGCCAAGTATCTGGATAAAGAATCCTGAGAAGCCATATTACATTCAGCACATAACAGTCAACAGTGTTCCAAGTGTGCTGTCAGTTTCCAGTTAAACACACACAAACTATCTAGTATTGAGAGCCTCCAGTATTCTTCATATGTATGAAGATTTTCTCTGAACTAATGTTGTGGCAAGAAACACATTAGTCTGATACACTCTCACCAAAGTTTATTTCCGTTTTCGTTATGTCTATCGTTGTTGTAGCTTTGCATTAAGTACATACGTTGTATCGTTGTATACAAACAGTTGACGAGAGGTTCAGAGAAACTATAAAGGAGAAACAAAATACGTGTTTAGTATACAATCCAAACCTGAACCTAATAAAGTGTACAAATATTCAAAATCCATATTTTCTAAATAAGCATTAATTGAATCAAATGTATTTTCTCTTAACTCGTTTTGGACATAGAAGCAACATAAATTCAAGAAATAACTCACATCTGTGTTCTGCCATAACTCAATGTGTGCTGCTGTCAACATGGAGGCCTTCTGTCTGACTGAGCCCATGTGCTTCTGATCATGTGATCAGATTGCCAGGATGTGAATTATGTTTTAAATTTGCAAAAGTTTAGGCAGCAACCTGGCTTTGAACTTGCAACCTGTGTGTTCATGAATATTAGCATAAGCGGTTCCAGTGAACAATCCTTTACACCACAAGCACTTGTACAGATGTGTTGACAATTTTAAAATATTAAAGTTAACTTTTACTTTAAATTAAATAAATTAAATTGAGAGGCTAAACTTAGTGTTCTGCACGTACAGAGTATGTGGGGATTTTTTTAATTGGAGATTTAATAATGGAGGTGACCCAGGTTGATTTGTTTGTGTTGATGTTGTGTTGGAAGCTTGAATTTGATATGTTAGTTTTGATGAGTTTTTTTATTTCTGATTTGGATGTGTGGAAATTGAGATTTGGTGATATATGGGATGTGGCGAGTTTGGCTGCGGTGTCTGCGGTGTCGTTTCCTGTGATGTTTGAGTGGCTGGGTATCCAAGTGAATGTGATATTTTTGTTTGAGCGTGCGAGCGAGTCTGTTTGGATTACTATATTGTGTATGAGGTCTGGACGAGATTTAGAGTGCATGTTGTGAAGTTGTTTGATAGAATTGAGTGAATCAGTTAAGATGAGGAAGTTTGTTTGGGGGAGGGTGGGTATTAGGTGAAGTGCAGTGAGGATGGCAGTGAGTTCAGCAGTGTTTATTGTGGTGTGGTTGGTATAGTGGAAATGAGTTGTGATGGGAGGGGTTTGTTGAACATGTATGCCTAGGCCTGTGGTTTTGTTTGTGTTGATTGATGCATCTGTATATATGTGAGTGTGGGTGGGGTAGTTTGTATTTATGTAGTTTTTTTGTGATATTAGTTATGTTGGTTTGATGGGTGTCTTTGGGTAGTTGTTTGAGGATTGTGTCAAGGGACATGTCTGTGGTGGGTGGGGGTTTGTCGTGAATGTAGCTTGTAATGGGAGGTGTGTGTTGAATGGTGTTTAGCTGTTGTGCATGTAGCAGACTGTATAAGTGAGTAAGGCATGATGCTTTAAATGGGTTTGATTTGAACTTTTTAAGTGTAGATTTCTTAATGTTTTTATATTTGTTTGTGATTAGTTTAAATATTGGGTTGTGTTGGGCCCCAGCCCAGTAAGTGAGTGTGGTTTGGTTTATTCTTTGTGTGATTGAAGAGGTGCCTGTGAGTAGAAGTAATGTGTTAAGAGAGGTACCACTCCTCGCGCCGAGAGCTAATTTGAGGGCTTTAAATTGAATGGAATTAAGTTTTTGAAGATTATGGGAGGTGAGGTTGTGGAGAATCGGGGCGGCGTAGTCCAATCTCGATAATATGAGAGTTTTATATATGTTGATGAGGGTATGTTTGTCGGCACCCCAGTTTGTGCCGCTGATGGCTCTCATTAAGTTTAGATCTTTTTGACATGAATTGACCAAGTTATTAATATGGGGTGTCCATGTCAGATGGCGGTCGAAAGTTACTCCTAGAAATTTGGCTTCTTTTTTTAATTCAATTTCTTGGTTATTTAGGTGGAGTTTGGGGGTATAATTTTGCATATACTGTGTTTTGAATAATATGCCCACGGTTTTTTTAACGTTGATGTGAAACCCCCAATTTTGGGCCCAGTTTTGAATGGAGTTTAGCATTTTTTGAATTTTGAGTGATGCCTGTTTAACTGAGGTGGAGGAGGTCCAAAATGAAATATCGTCTGCAAATTTGGCAGTTGTGATTTCTGGCCATTTATCTGGAAAAATGTCATTAATCATGAAGTTGAATAAAGTTGGGGATAATATGCTCCCCTGGGGGGTTCCATTTTCTAGGGGGTATGGGTCCGAGATGGTGTTGTGAGATTTGATTGTTATTTGTCTGTCGTTTAGGAAAGAGTGAATGAAATTTAAAATTCGACCGTGTATGGCATGTTTTTGAAGTTTTTGTAGTAGGCCGTTGTGCCAAACCATGTCGAATGCCTTACTGAAATCAATAAAAATGGCCATAGTGTATTGTTTCTGAGCTTGTGCTACTTTGATATCTTGTTCTAAATGTAGAATGTGGTCTAAAGTTTGTCGATTTGGAGTAAAGTCGCTCTGGTCCTCCTTAAGTAAGTTGTTTGTTAAAATAAGGTGTTTGAGCCTGTTGTTTACAATTGTCTCTAGGGTTTTACAGAGGTGGGAGGTAAGAGAGATGGGGCGGTATGAGTCAGGCTCGCTGTTGGGTTTCCCTGGTTTGAGGATTGGTACCACTCTGGCTGTTTTCCTAGTGTTGGGGATAGTTCCTGTGGTCCAGATATGGTTAAAGAGGGTAAGTGTGAGGTTATGCATGTTGGGGGGTAGTTTATTTAGTATTGTGTATGTAATGGTATCTGGACCTGGGGCTGAGGCTGATTGTTTGTTTTTTAGTGCGGATTTGAGTTCATGTATGTTGATAATTTTATTTATGGGTTGGTCAGTGTGAGGAGGTTGTGGGGTGTAGGGGTGGTGGTTTTTGATAGTGTTTTGGAAGGTGGGTGAGTAGTTGGTGGAGCTGCTTGTAGTCGAGAATTGGGCAGCAAATGCATTTGCTTTATCTTTGTTTGTGGTTAGGTCTTTAAAGTTGGGTGAAATGGGTTTTTTAGAAATGCCCTTTATGGCTTTAAATTTATTCCACATGGTCCTGGGATTTCGATGCGATTGCCTGAGGGTAGAACAGAATTTCCTCCAATGGGTGATTTTTGCTGCCTTGATAATTTGTTTAGTTTTGTTACGTAGTTGTTTAGCTAAATGTAATTTGGAACGGTCCCTTTTTGATTGATTAAGGGCCTTTTTTCTAGCCTTTCTGGCATTTATAATTTCATGGCTCCACCACGGGACTGTTTTTTGTGCGGGGTTAAACCGAAAAGTGGGAATGCATTTATCTGTGATATTTAGGATAGTGTTTGTAAGATTACTGTTAAATGTGTTTATATCGGGGCTGTAGATGGATGAGGTGTTTACTTGGTTGCATAGTATTGTGAATTTTTCCAATCTGCTTTATTAATGTTGTATCTAGTTTCTGTGGGTGTGGGTGGAGGAGTGGTGGTTGGTGAGGTGGGGATGTGTGAAGTTATAGTGATTTTAATGGGGCAGTGGTCGCTGCCCCAGGTGTCGATGTGTACCTCCCATATGCAAGCT